CGAAAAGACATTTTTCAGCTGTACGCATAACGTTAGTCGGTACGGACGTCATTTGTCGTGTACGTGGAAAAAGAAGAAGGAAGCCGGGGATGTATACCGATAAGAGGGAAGGGCGCCAAAGGAAAAGGAGCGCCCGGAGAGCTCCTATTTTTTTGATCGGCAAAGGAAGAAGAAAGAGAAAGAAACGCATATATTTTCATATTCGAACGAGCGCACCAGGAATATTGTAATTTGCATCGGAGACGGCGTAAAGAAGTGGAGTCGAAGACGCTATATTGGAATCGCCGGAGTATGCAAATGCTGCTGTGCACACCCCCGCCTCTCCTTTGGAGTCCCGAATCTTGTGGAGCTACGGGTACATACGCGTAGGTACGTGTGTGGATGTGGAAATTTGCCGTAGAAATGAAAAATGCCGCTGCTCGTACATGCTCGACATTATTTATCGCGTAACGTGTCACGAGGTGCGGTTAATGTGGGGAGGAATATTTTAAATGGCGATCGTTAAATTTTTAATTTTTATCAGAATTGGCCTCGTTTTTACTTTGCTGTCGAGAGTTTTGTGAACTGCTTCAATTGTCTTAGTAATGCTTGATAAAAGTCACAGGAGTTTATCAGTTACGTACCGGTTGATTTTACTTCTCTTTCTTTAAATAATTTTTAAAACCATTGTTGAAATTTTGCAATTTTTTGGCAGTGCAGAGAGAAGGCAATATGTAGGAACGCAATACTTAGGAATGATACTAGATACTCAAATTTAAATAAAGTTGAAAAGCTTTGATAATATAATAAATTGAAGACGTTGAATCCAAAGTACAATATTTGTTTGTACTAGTTACATTTATTGATGAAGTTAGAGCATTGCAAAATAATCTGTTTGATTATTTGAAACTTAAAGCAGTTGGCTGATATATGAATCAGTCGATAGAAGTATTGGTCTTTGTAATAATATTTTTTTGTATATTATTACGTTAATTATATTATACATCTCTTCTAACTGAACGGAATTTGATTTGGGCAAAATTAGCCAACAATACATGCGTGAAACAGGTCAACTACGTCCATTGGCATTAGTGATGTTGAATTCAATAGATTAAACTTGTTCAACATTTTTTATTATTTAATACTTTTTTCAAAAATCATAGTCATTATTTTGATATAAAAATATTCTTCTAACATTGTCCAACTTTTTATAGCAGTGACACATATAAAATGACTTTCCAATATGAAAATGAACATAGACGTTAACGTCTTTATGGTAATACAAGAAAATAAATGGAAAGAATAATATTCACATGATTTCCTTGGAGCGGACGTGGTAAATTGTGTGTCAAGTGTCTTCAATATTCGCTTACGCATGCATTATTGAATACGCTCCGACAAGCGCGCTTTGCGAGAAATCAACGAATTCAATAAAGGGTGAATAATGCCCTTCGAATTTTCGCGTGACAAATTGCGCCGCCAGCGGCCAAACCAAAAACAGAGATGAACTCACTCTCCCCGCGAACGTACGCAAATCCAAGGTAATTCCCGCTCTTCTGATTTACATGAAAACTCGCGTATAAAACACGATGCCGAATAAACCTGGCAAAGCTCAACACGGCTCTCACATCGCAATAATTGAGGTAGAGTTGAAACGTAGAGTTGTAATACGACACGCTACACAAAAAATGTTATAAATTTTACCAATTCGACATTTTCCAAAGGCAAAAGTGACAATGGCAAAGCAAAGCACTCGAGATAGAAAAAAGCAGGTTCGGCATTAGGAAAAAAAAAAAATAAAAAAATAAAAAAAAAAAAAAAAACAACGCACGTACACAAACGACAAAGTGCAGAGCACAAAAAAGAGAATTAAGCCACTCGGAACGGCAACACAAAGCGGGGTCACCCCCCAGTGACTTTTCGGTGTACTAGAGAGAGAGCCTTTGCCGCTTTATGCGCGTACACCGGGACAGCACAAAAGTGTCATCCCCCACGAATCTCTCGATGAGCGAGTTCACGCGGCGATCCCTTCGCACATGCATCCGTGTAAAGAGAGAGAGAGAGAGAGAGAAATCGTGGACATCAGCAAGTGTCGCGACCCTCGAAATATCGCGCGACCTATTGCTGCAGCCTCTCCCCCTTTATCAAGTGCTTGTTTGCACGAGCGAAAGAGAGAGAGAGAGGGGGGGTTGGTTGGCTGGGGTGTACAGGGAAAACGCGAAATTCGTAGTGGAGAGGAACAAGAGCACCCCGTGCGCAGATATACGAGCGCCTTCCGGACGCGCCGACGGGTTTTACTAATAACCGATAGCCCAAGCGAACCGTGGAATATTATAATTGATTTATTGCTGTTACGGCTACCCGGAGGATTTTGGTCGGGCCCCGTGGGACGCGATCGGGAATTTATCAGTACGCTGCTGGTGATGCTCCGTGGACCGTTTTCCGAGCACGCTCCATTGGATCCGCGGAGTCAGAGCTTTGCACGCGTATCGTGGAGTTTGGGGTTTCGGCGACCGGCGAACCGGATCGCTGATCCGCGGTGCTATTGGTGTCAATTGGCGGTACTATTCACGTCAAACTGATACTTTGCTGATACACTTCGCGGCTGTATACTGTTGTTCGCACATGTGTACCGGATGTACGAAAAAATCCACAAAAAATACCCCGTTTTTTGTCCCCCCCCCCCATTTTAATAAAAATAATTTTTTTTTAGGTACACACCTTTGAAACCAAGCTCATTTCACTCGTAATGTCAAGTACTATAAGCAAAAAAATTTTTAACACGAGTTTCATTGAGGGTAAAAATGATGGTATAACATTACATCTACACATGTGATGTCTGTATGGATATAATAATATTATTTAAACTGCGGAAACAGGGTGTCACCTCCACTAAAACCCAAGTTCACATTTTTTCCTCATGGTACATGACATCAAGAGTAAAATGAGCCTAGTTTCAAGGATGTGCCTCAAACAAATTTTTTTAATCGAAATAGGGGACAAAAACGGGATATTTTTTGTGAATTTCCTGATACATACACTGAGAAAAAGATTTTTCATCATATCCTAACGGGATGTTCGCGTTCCCGTCCTGATTTTAGGCTGAGAAGTTACGCATTCCTGACCAGCTGACAAAAACCAAAACCTAGCTTTATTTTAACAAAAACTTGATGTTAAAAAATTTGAGAACCCATAATAGTTAAAAATCACCTCTGGTAAGTTGCTAGCGAATCATCAGCTTCATTTTAATCGATATTTTCAACTTATCAAGATTGCATTCAAATTAAACAAGTACACCAGTGCCACGGGGTTATATAGAAACCGAATTCGTTTGGCAATGGTTAGCAGCTCTGTGCGCACACTGGCCTTGAGCGAAGCAACAGTAACCGTAGCTTGGCCCGACGTTTGCGAGAAAGGGTTGACAATAAATTCAGACGAAAAGCGGGAGGGCGTCGAGTCCGCAATCTGTGATTCAGCGCCATTAAGCACAGAGATCTTTTAAAGGCACGCGTTTTCTTTCTCCCTCTCTCTTTGAGCGCTTAACCGAGAGATAGCGCATATCCGACAGCAGCTTGGTACTATGGGCTCACTTGAAACTTGTCTACCATTTGCATCTGAATTATGAACTTTGCGCTAAAAAGTACTTCATTGCAGTGGTGTCATTGTAGTAGCAGCTTGTTGGATATTCTAGAACAGTGATTAAGTGGTTTCAATGTATGCAGAGATTTTTAGTTGGATGAGTGATCAAATAGTGATTGTTCTATGACGTTGCTTGAGAACAAACTCAAACTTATATAAGAATAAATAGTTATTTCTTACCAGTAGAGTTAATGTGGAAATTTTCATGATTCAAAAAACTTTTTTTCACCTCGTCACATAAGGATAATTTATTTCTGTATTAACGAAATAAATTTCATGAATAATAAAATTTCTGATTAAGGCTTGTTAATTTTTTTTTTTTAATTTAATCTACAGTTAAATTTATCAAATAGGGACGAATTGCGTCTTTGTACTCACGATTTTAATAACACGTACCTATGCCTCTGCCTCAAATTAAGGTGATGCAAATATTTTTCGTCGTAAGCTTTAAAACTAATTTTTTTTAATTTTTTGTAAATATTTTTTGTATAAAATTATTTTTTTATAGGCCAATAAAAACTCTTAGATTCTTTGTACAATTTATTAATTCTTCGGATTATTCTAAACACAGAAATAATCTTATTACAAAACTCTATGAATTATTTGTTTGAAAACTGCTACATCTTTAAAAATGTGTACTTATGGAGATGTGAAAATTATAAATTTTTAACCAAATTTTGTTTGTATCTCACCAATGTTTTAATTAAACTGTCTCTTGAAATAAAGTTATTTAAAAATGATTAATGTCAGTTGCATTTGGTTTCGACAAGTTCTCGTCGAATATTTTACTATTATTGACTTGTATGTTATTATTAACCAACGTAATAACTAATATTAAACATATGATGTGAGTACATAACATATAATATTCCTGAAGCTTTATTTGCTTCGAAAAATAATTAATTCAAAGAACTAAAAATGAACGATCATATCGAATCAACAAAAATACTGTTTATCTAAAGTTTAAAAAATGTCATGACTATATTTTTGCAAGTTTTTTCAAGTCCCTTATTGTTAGAAATGACAAAATCTTCCAAGTAATGTGATCGTACATCATGTTCATCCCCATTAATATTAAAATATCTTGCAGAGCCTGGTTAAAACATTTTTTTGCAACATCCATTAACTGCCTCTTTTCGATTGCCAAATCGAGGCGAGTTTTTATCGCATACTCTGAATAGTCGAGTTTACGTTTATTGTCGAGTAATAAGAGATAATGTTTGCAATCACAAAAATAATGTACATTATTCAGAAGTTTGACGAGAGAATCTAGTGGCATCGTAAGTAAATCAAAGATTGATTTTTTCCTTATTTTTTTTTTTTTCAATTCATCTAACTTCTTATTGCAAAAAAAAAGAATCATTGACAATTCAAAATCTAATTTAAAAAGCATCTGAACTGAGATTAATTCTGCATTCGAGTTATTGAAGTTGATTTTTAGGGCCCAATATAGAACGAAAAGATGTGTCAACTTATTTGGATCTGAGTTTTCTACAACTTCGAAAAATGCCTTCTTCATCATATGATGGATTATGTTGCTATCTTTGAACTCGAAAAGCAAACATACTATTTTTAAATCATTTTTATGTCTTCTGTAACTAGAACAAGTTGTGTGAAAGCGCCTGTTAATAGAAAATACGGTTTAATCTCGTTTCATTGAGAATTGATCAGGAAGACTAAATTTAAGATCGTATAGATTAATTGACAAACCTGTTTGTGCGGAAACCAGACTCTAATAACATCTTAACGATACTATAGTTGCCTTTATCGATAGCTGTAATCAAGGCAGTGTTAACGTCTTGACAACAGTAATTTTTGCTTTCCAAGGGAAGTCTATCTATTTCGAGTAGACGGTCAACAAGCTGCTCCTGAGATAATGCGATAGCAGTGATCAATTCGTGTAACTTTAGTTCATTCTCATCGTAGGCAGTAGTTAAATAAGGTATATCTATTTCTTCTGGTAGGTCTAGTGACAGTATTCCATAAACTCCTGCCGTTTTAGCTAGCATCATCATTATCAATTTTATGTCGTGCGATTCATTGACAGCTTTGGAAAATGGCGTTTCGTCAAGACAGTTTTTAGAACGCAAATCCGCTCCTGACCAAATATTTGTATTTTATTTCTTACGTACAATATTTTTACACATTACTTAACTTACCATATTCAATAAGTAGTTTAGCAATTTTGTAGTACCATTTCTTATTACAACTGTCGTTTGTTTCAAGTAGCAAATGTAGGGGCGAGTTACCAAAATTATTTTTCACGTTGACGTCCGATCCGCTTTTGAGTAAAGTTAGGATATCTCTTTTATTTTCGTCATAGATAGCTATATGCAGGTCGGAGTCACTCATGCCGTTATCAATATTAATCCCCATCATGTCCAAGTATGATCTGAGAAAGCATTGGTCTTCATTTCTTTCGTGATGCTGCGTAGTTACTATGTAATACATTAGTGCTTCGAGAGTGAATTGTCCGTGAGAATCTATTTCAGTTGCGTGGTATAGTAGAAATTCGATAAACGGTTGCTCGTTCAACATCGGGTACGTGCTTACTACATCACACGCATTGAACAATCTCTCATAAATATTTTTGCTTTTTGCACTAAAAAATATAAAAGTATACCAGCCAAATTAATTATGTCATATTATTATATACATGAATTTTGTCATAAAATTATGAATGTCTTACCCATGTTTTATAAGAATTTGCCCCATATTAAACTTTGAGTTATATATGGCCTCATCTAAAGGCGTATAATCAAAAATATTAACTATATTAAGATCTGTCTGGTAGAGCAACAGATGTTTTGTAATATCTTCGAATTGTGATTTAACCGAGGCATGAAGAGCTGAGTCATACAAATCGTTTACAACATTCGGATCGGCATTATTTCTTAAAAGGAGCTTCGAACCCTCAACCTTTGGATTTTAAATGATTAAAATTTTCGTAATTTATATTAAATTTTATGAAAAACACACTACCTGGTTTTTTTGAATTGCTAAGAAGAGTGGCGACTTGTTTAGTAATCCTTGCATGTTAACTTCTGCTCCGTGATCAATAAGCAGTTTTATTAATATCAATTTGTTTCTATCTTGTACAGTCTCGTGATCAGCGCAAACTGTAACGTTTTTGTAGACAATTTGCAGTGGTGTTTGAAACGAAAAATTATAATCATTTGCACAAGACGTGTATCTGTAAATTAATTGAAAGTCAAAAGTTACAAAAATGTAACTGTACCTTGAAAAAAAAAAAAAAAAAGTTACCTTGTCAGAGAATTATAAACCTGTACAATATCACCAGCACAAACTGCTTGATGAATGTTTTGCTGTCTCCTATTTTGCATGATTGTAGGTTGATTTCTTTTCTGTAATCGTAGAACTTCAATACAACGAATAAAAATTTTGAAATAAACATTTTTTTTATTGCATGTAATTCCAATTTACTATACATATACAGCAATCGAGTTCAATAATTACTGTCTCCAAGTAGACGTGTGGGTTAAATAATCTACATCTGATAGAATAATTATGTAGCATATGTTAATTTTTTATACGGTCTAGTGAGTATAAAGGGTCCACTAATCTGATATATGTAAAAGTCAAGAATAGGTTCAGCTTTATTTTAAAAATAAATGATAGGCTTAAATTTAGATTTCTAAAACAAGGTGATTAGTGCAGTATAAACAAGTGGTTGGATTGTAAGAAAATTTAGTTTTTTCATCTAAGACACGACTGCTCAGTACAACTTTTACTCAAGCAAAAGTGCAACCACCTATAAATAATTTATTTTTTTTGTTATAATTAACTTTGAGTTCAAAATAAAAGTGGGGTGAGTGGTACCGAGTACCAAGTATATGTACGCATGTATGTTTGTAGGTAAGCATGTTTTTTCGATTTTTCAAAAATTTTACATCCAATTGGACTTAAAGTAGCTTTCAAGTCCCAAAATCGCGGAACTCTGTGTTTAAAAAAAAAAAAAAAAAATTTTGCATATAACTTTTTCAGTTGACATTTTTGTTGACACATACACTTACATGACTTCAAAACGAAAACAAGAGCTAAAATAGTTAACAAAGTCACTATTAATATTTATTAATAAATAAAAATTTTTAAACTAATGTATGTATAGAAATACTTTTTGAAGCGAGTTTAAGTACTAGCTGACAGGCTTTTTTTCGTTGTTAGTAGATTAAATTTGATTATGTTGACATTTTTTTTCTATCCTTTAAGAGGAATCAAAATCATTTTCCAGTTTAACAAAATATTGAAAAGGTACTTTTAATATAATATATGTAATTTAATGAAGCTACATCGAGCGACGTACATTAAAAATTTGACTAAACAATCGCCCATCATATATATTTAACATGTGACGTGCAAAAAAATTATTTTCTCTTACAATAACATGAAATTGTGTGGTTGGTTCTGTTTTTTCTTTGGTTAGCTTTCAACGAAGTTCCACATTGAAAAGATCTAAAAACTTTCTAGACCATACATGAGCCTAAAATGTAAATTGCAGCAGTTACACCCAAAACAATTATTTTTATTGTACGTCTAAGTGCTTTCTTTAATTTTGAAAATATGAACCTGCTCTCGAAAAAATAAGTTAAAATATTGAACAGTAGTACTTTTTTTAAGATCTACACTTTCTTTGTGAGACCAACAGTGTATGATTTGAACTTTTTAAGTCATGCCTAAAAAATTGATTTTTTAAAGATTGCTTTTTGCTCATAAAAACATTACAAAACTTATTTTAGGTCCATAAGTGGTCCATCTTGTGTCAGCTTATTATGAAATAACGAAGCTAAAAATTACATTAGAGCCCTAACTTACCCTTTTATTATGTTAAAAAATTGTTTCACAATCAAAACAGACTATGTAGACACAGTTCTCTGAAAAAAATTCAAGGAACTTCTGTGGTGCAGTCGTGCTTAAAAAGACATATAAAATGTAGAAAGAATACAATTTTTTATTGTATTTATATCATATTTTTTATTTTACTTTAGTTGCAGATAAAGAATCAATAAAACCAATAACTTTTTTTAGGTATGATTAGTAACGTACACGCAATATACAAAATTCAAGTTACTGTAAATAAAAAGTTCACTAATAATTATAAAAATTTATAATTTGTTAAGTCCAGTTTTTGAATTTTACTTACATCCAGGACTATTGCAACATTGACATAGAAAGTTGTTTCGTATACTATACCATCGTTTTTTCTCCAGGTGCATTTACAAATTAACCTTTTGGTCACTTAATACAAGC